ACACAGGGAATCCAGGATGGATGATTGGTTAGCTTTTATTACACTTGACTTGATTAAATGACAGTGGTGGAATGTTAGTGGCCAGTCTGTGTTACTCTGAAAGAAAGCTCACTGACTTTATTTGAAGATAGAGTTTCTTGTTTGCAGATCAGTTTAGCTTCACATTTTTGAACCCTGGACAGAATTATCTCAGGGAAGATTTGTATTTTCATAGTTTAATAAGAATTTTTCACTAAGTATTTGTTTATTTGTAGGTATATTTGCTTACTTAAACTACCATGTTCCTCGAACGAGACGAGAAATCTTGGAGACCCTCCTCAAAGGCCTTCAGCGACTGGAGTACAGAGGATATGATTCTGCTGGTATTCCCTTTTATAAAATATTGAGGGTTTTCTATGCTATGTGAAACTAAATGGATTTATTTTTCTATTTTTTAGGTGACAGTCAGATTGTTTAGATTCTTAGCCCCGTTCTTCTGTCACTTTGTCATATTTTGTTGACTTGTGTGTTGTGCTGGAAACTATACCGCTGGCATTTAAAATACCAGTAGGGTTATCCATGGTAGAGAAATTTCAGGAGCTCCCACACTAAGAACAAATGAGGAAGAAGGAAGAGATGGTGCACTTTAAAGAAAGCCATTGAAGACCTGAGGTTCAAAAACCAAAAGTGATAACAGGGTCAGCATATCTCAAGCTGAAAGAACTGAAGAAAAAAATTAAGGGTTCGAGTGGGGATATTGAAGGATTCTGTTGTTACAATGTTGAATGATGCAGGAAGCTTCAAAAGAGGATGGAAGAAATATAGTCATTGTAGGAAAAACCATTGGCAGACATTTAACCATTTCGGGACCGATGGAATTGAAGAATTCCAAGCTTCACAGACGATGTTAGTTGAAACTGGACATGAGGTCCTGGTGTAGTGCCAATTGAAATGTTTTTAAAACGTGATGAAGCACTGGAGGCACTCCTTAATCTGTGCCATGCAACGTAGAAGACAGCTGCCTGGCCAACTGACTGGAAGTGCTTCATGTTTGTACCCATTCCAAAGAAAGGTGTCTCAACACAATGCAGAAAATATGGAGCAATATCATTGATACCGGTATCACATGCAAGTACCAAAACCTTGCTGAAGGTAAAAACAGTTGTAACAGTTCTCAAGAAGGAGCTCTCAGAAATTCAAGTCAGATTCAGAAGAGAACATGGAACAGGGGATATCATTGCTGATGTCTGTTAGGTGTTAGCTGAAAGCAGAGAGTATCGGAAAGAGGTTTACTTGACTGTGCATTCAGTAGGCATTCTGCTGTGCTATTGTAGCAAACTATGGATAGCATTGGGAAGAATGGGAATTCCAGAACCTGCCATTGTGTTCATGGGGAACTTGTACATAGAACAAGTAAGCATCTGTCCTTCACACTGAACGAGTGATTACTGCCTAGTCTTTCACCATGCTTATTTAGTATATATGCTAAACAAGTAATCTGGAGAAGAACATGGTGTCTGCATTTTAGGAAGGTTCATTAACAACCTGAGATATGCGGCAGACATAGTCTTGCTTGCTGAAAGCCAAGAGGACTTGAGGCACTTGGTGACGAAGGTCAAAGACTACAGCTTTCAATGTGGAAAAACTACTCACAGTGGGACCAATAGACAATGTCATGATAAGGGAGAAAAGATTGAAGTTGTCAAGGATTTAATTTTACTTGATTCCATAGTCCACACTCATGGAAGCGACTGTCAAGAAATTGAAGAATGACCTCTTCAAAATGTTAAATAGCAAAGCTTTCAGTTTGAGGAGTGAGGTGCACCTGACCCAAGCCATGGCATTTTCAGTTGCCTCATAGGCACGTGAAAACTGGACAGTGAATAAGGAAGACGAGAATGGAGAGGAATTGATGCTTTTGAATTATAACATTGGCGAAGAATATTGAAAGTATGGTGGACTGCCAGAAGAACAAGCAAATGTGTCTTGAAAAAATTGCAGCCCAAATACTCATTAGCTGTGGCTGTGAGACTTTGTTTCACATACTTGGTGAGGGACATGGTGAGACTTTGTTTCACATACTTTGGACATAGTACCAGGAGGGACCAGTCCCTGAAGAAGGACATCATGTTTGATAAGGTCCAAAAAACTCAACTGCCATCAAGTCAGTACTGACTCATAGCGACCCCTTGTGTGTTTTCAAGACCTTAACTATTTTTGGAAATAGACAACTCAGTCTTTGTCCCTCAGAGCTGCTTGTGGTTTCGAACTAGCAACCATTCGGATCGCAGCGTAGATTCTTCTTGACATGGATTGGTGCACAGTGGGTGTAACAATGGGCTCAGACATAACATTTGTGAGGATGGCAGAAGACTGGGCTGCAGTTCAGGTTTTTGGGGTCATTGTGAGCGGAGCTAAGTCGATGGCTCCTAATAATCACAGCAATCTCTGTTATATTGTTTGTGATAATTCTAAAACCTGCAGTTTTTGTCTCATGTTTAAAGGGTTTGTTTATGTAATTTCAGCAGGCTTATTTATATAGAGTATTGCTTCTCTTGAAGATCTTGTTCTTCCTGTTTTAATAATGTTACTAGGAAAACATAAATCATCTGGGGCAGTTTTATGCCAGAGCAAAGTTTTTGAGGTCCTTACTCTGTATATTATGTTTTCTCTCTCCCATATCTGTAATTTCTTGTTCTTCATGTATTCCTTGCTCTTGGCATCAAAGTTACCTAAAGCACTTCTGTCCTAAATAACGGTCAACAAATAAGAAATAAGTTTTTGCCAACTTTATGTTCTATTCCAGCTTCTTCCTTTAACTGTTGGGGATTCCCAAGACACCCCCAGGCTCACTGATTTGGTGGGAGGACTCGGAAGACTTTCTTTGTGGTTGTACTCACAGCTGTGAGTTGATACAGCAGGATACATAATGAAATCAGCTAAGGAGAATGGTTCATGGGGCAAAGTTCAGAGGCAACCAAGAACATTTCTTAATCCTCTCCCAGTTAAATCACACAGATGTGCTTAATTCGCTCAGCAACTAGTTGTAATAATATATATGAAGTGTTGTACGCACGAAAGGAAGCTTGTCTGCTATTTCTTCTCCTGGCATCCATTTTCAACATTGTTTTCAAAGGAATTTTTGTCATGTCACTTCTTTGCTTTGAATTCTCCAGTGCTTTTCTAGTACCTAATTTTGCACCCTTTTCAAATTCTGTAGGAACTTAGATAGACTCTCAAGAGAGATGTTTTCTCGTACTTGCTCTGTGTTACTCTTCTGAGGTGGATGCCCTTCTTCTTTGTCTCCCTGTTGTGCTCCAGATAAACCTGTGGTACTTTTATTATAACCTATAACCACAGCGTACTCTAGTGAGCTTTCCTTGTGTGAATTTCCAGGAGATTACTAGACATTTTATGGCAGGAATGAGGTTTTGTTTTTGTTTTCCGTTTTTGGCTTTTCCATCTGACCTGTTCTTGGCAAGTAATAAGCATTCATGGAAAAGGTGAAAAAATGAATCACATGAAAATGCAATTTTTAAAAGTTACAGATTTTGCCTCAGTGCTAAAATCTTAAGCAGTGACCAGTGTCTATCTGTTGATTAGGTGTGGGAGTTGACGGAGGCAATGACAAAGACTGGGAAGCCAATGCCGGCAAGATCCAGCTCATTAAGAAGAAGGGGAAGGTCAAGGCTCTGGATGAAGAAGTTCACAGTAACGTACTTGTTCTGACTTTGCCACCCATCCCCCTCCTATTGGCTCTTCCCTCCCCATCAAATTAATTCCTCTCCAACTTTTGGGGCCCATTTTAAACATCCATTGCTGTTGAGTTGTTTGCGACTCATAGTGACCCTATAGAGCAGTGGAACTGTAGAACTTTATATAAGCAGATTGCTACATCTTGTTCCTGTGGTGTAGCTGGTGGGTGGGAACTTCCAACATTTTACTTAGCAACTGAACGCTTTACCCACTCTGCCATCAGGCTTGTATTTTAAGAATAATGATTCTTAAAGTTGAGAAAAGGAACAAAGAGTTTTGTTATCGCTTGGAATAATTTTAAAATGTGGTTAGGAGCTCTAATGGGTAGTGGCTGCATGTTGGGCTGCTAACCTTAAGGTGAGCAGTTCAAAACCATTAGCTTTTCCATGGGAGGAAGATGGAGCCTTCTATTCCCGTAGAGTTACAGTCTCAGAACCCACAGGGGAAGTTCTACCCTGTCCTGTGGGGTCGAGATGACTTGTAAACTACTATATGGCAGTGAGTTGCTGTTTTTTTCCCTCCAGAAGTGATTATAGTACTACACCATCATGCAGTTGATTCTGATTCATAGTGACCCTATAGGACAGAGTAGAACTGCCCACACGAGTTTCTGAGGCTCTAATTCCTATGACAGCTGCATCCTTCTCCTACAGAGTGGCTGCTGACCTTGTGGTTAGCAGCCAGCATGTCACCCACCGCACCAGCAGGTCAGGTCTCTAGATACCTAGAAAAGGCAAATTAGGTTACACTGCATTAAGAGCAAGCTCAGTTCTAGAACGAAGTGGTTTCAGAACTACAGTTCCTGAGGACAAAGATGTTTTTAGTAGTTTCCTTATTTACATGCCTTTACTTTGTAGTTGTCTTCATTTCGGCACTGACTGCCGGTCAGTCTGGATGTTGCATTTTTATCAGGTTTGATGTAGCCAGGTAAGTATTTCATTCCTACCTCACTGTTTTCTTACTTCCTTGGTACTAGGTAGTTGCTTATTAAGGAGAATATACTTCTCAGTATTTAGTTTATAACATTATGCTTACACGTTTCATTTTGTTCATAGGAAACGTGGAAACAAACTTGGAAGTAGGGTCTTAAGTACCTGCTCAAAAGGAATGCCATCATAATCATTGTAACGGAGTTTAGGTGGAAGAGAAAAATGATTGCTTTAGTAATTTTTCACCCCACTCAAACCATATGTTTAGCTATATAGTACTTATTTAATACAGTTCTTGTTTTTACATACACTTTAAGTAAGATTAGGGGTAAAGCTGACACACAAAAAACAATACTTCCAACACTGTAGTGTAAATATGCTGTATTCATTGAATGTTGCCGTCTGCGTACCGACCAAAGGAATGGAAAGGAGCCCTGCTGGTGTAGTGGGCTAAGCATTGGACTATTAACCTAAAGGTTGGCATTTGGACCCATCAGCTCCCCAAAGGAGAAACACGAGGCACTGCTTCTGTAAAGATTTACGGCCTCAGAAATTTTATGGAGCAGTTCTGCTCCGTAGGGTTGCTGTGAGTCGGAGGGAAACACAACAGAGAACATTACATAGATTCCCTGCCCTGATAGGGATTACTGTCTAGCAAGGAGAGGGTGGATCGTAGGCCAACAAATATTCAATATAATGTTATGTCATACAATGTAACATAATGTTAGTCCTTCTCTCTCATGTTGAACTCCAAAGACTCCCCAAAGCTCAAAAAATACACCTTGAACAAATAAACCAAAAGCCAAACTCACTGCCACTGAGCCAATGCGGCCTCCTAACGGCCCCTCTGGGGTTTTGAGACTGTTTACAAGAATAGAAAGCCCGGACTTTCTCCCACAGAGCTGCTGGGGGTTTCAAACTGGTGACTGTGTGGATCACAGCTCAACGTGGAACCACTACACCATCAAATCCTGAAACCTTTTTTGGTGCCAAATACTAAGGCCATCTCACCACTGCTTACTGCAGTCGGTGTTATCATCTCCCCCCTGGACTTCACCAGACTCCTAGCTGGTCTCCCTATGGTCAACCTCATCTCCCAGTAATGTAGTCTTTGCACACCAGCTCGAGGGGTCCCTTCAAAAGAGAGGTTCAATCGTGTCATGCCCCTATGTAAAATCTTCCAGTAGCTTTCCAGAGTAAAAGCCATGATCTCTAACACTTTACATGACTAGCCCTTGAGCCACCTCTTTAGCCTCATCTCCTGCCACTTTTACTTTAAGCCACAGCATACCAAACCCTCTGAGTCTTTTCACTGGATGGTCCTCTACCTAGAATTCCCATCTCATGTTAGTATAAGAATCACATGATCTCTGCTCAAACATCACCACTACCACATGGTTTCTTCATAGCAAAACTAGGAAAACTAGTTGGAGCCAGACAGTGATAGACGTTGTATGACATGAAAAGATGTTGGGGTTCATCTTGTTAGAGAGTGATTATCCGATTTTACTTCACAATCATATGACTCTCTTTCCAAATCCTTGTGCCCAGGTTTATGTCGTTCAAACGTGCAGGTAGGCTTGCAAACCACTTTTGTCCTCAATCTGTCTTTTAGCAGATAAGCACTGCTTCTGGGTGAGATTTGTGTCAGAATGACCTCTGGTAGCTGGGGAAACTATGAGCTAAAGTTATGGACTTTCCCGCCCAGACTCCTGAGCAGCATGCTCTAATGTGGGCCTCATTCTGATAAGCACAGTGATGTCGTTTCCTGGCCAAATGATTTCCATGTTTAAGGAACTGAGAGGGGAGCATTTTTTTCTAGCAGATTCAAGAATAGATAGGAACAAAGGCTGAGCATAGCTGCTTTCAATTCTTCTTTTCAAGATGAAGGAGTGCCAGTCTTGCCAAACCCCCAGCAACCCCTCACTTCCGACCATTGCTGTAGCCGCAGGCTCTGTTCTTTGACAGAAAAAAAACCCAACTCACTGCCATAGAGTCAATGCTGATGCTGACTCAAAGTGACCCTATAGGGCAGGGTAGGACTGCCCGTGACTTCCCGAGACTGGAATTCTTTATGGGCATAGAAAGCCTCACCTTTCTTCCTCGGAGCCGCAGGTGCTTTTCAACTGCCGATATTGCAGATTGCAGCCCAACTTGTGCCTTGTGCTCCACCAGAAAACTGTCAATAATGCCATTGTATGTGGTAACATTTATTTATATTCATTGGCGACCAAAGAAATTGCAATTACAATGTTGTATGGCATTGAGAAAATGAATTTATCTTTACATGTCTTATTAAAATAATAATCATTTTTTCAAAGCAAATATTAAATATAGAGCTTGTTGTTTTAAAAAAAATCACTGACTCATTTTTCCTAAAGTTTAAATGGAAAAATTATAAAGCTGCAAGAAAATTGAAGGAATAAGTACATTGTACTTCACTTGGCTTTTATCACGTTTGCTTTCTCTCTACATACACCTTTCTTCTGGTTGTTGTCTGAAGTATTCCTCTATATTAGCTGTTTTACCTTTTACATCTTTTAATTACTATCTTCAGTAAGATTGATACTCAATTCCAATAATTATATTTTCCAGGGGAGCAGCATTGCAATAATTATCATTAAATATGGTTTGTAATGTTATCTCTACAGCATAATTTAATACTGGAATTCTTCTTTTCTTCAGAACAACAAGATATGGACTTGGATATAGAATTTGATGTACATCTGGGAATAGCTCATACCCGCTGGGCAACGCATGGAGAACCCAATCCAGTCAATAGCCACCCTCAGCGCTCTGATAAAAATAACGGTATGGACAGATTCTATATGCTTTAGGAGAGTTCGTTTTAAAGACCTAATCATTTTTTTAAAATCTGGAAACTTTAAACACAGTAAGAATCGAAAGTACATATCATCCAGCTTCAATGTTTATAAATACACGATCAGTTAAGTGATCTTAGGAGCCCTCTTAGGAACTCTGTTGGCCCAGTGGTTAAGTGGTTAAAGAACTATTCTGCTGACCAAAGACTGGCGATTCAAATGTGGTAGATAGATCATAGCCGAGGGCACCCCGGCTCTGCCCTGGAGAGCCATTGCCGCCCCTGTAGATTTTTTATCTTTCAGTCCCATTTCTACACTCCTCGCTAGAAAGATGAGGCTTTTGACTCCTGTAAAAAGCTAGTGTCTGGGAAGCCCACACAGGAAGCTCTGCTCTGCTGTAGAAGCCTGCTGTTAGTTGGAATTGGCTTCATGGCTGCTAGGGGAGTTTGTGAGTGAATGAGGCAGAGACACAGAGTTTTAAATAGATGAAACATCATGGGGTTTTATATTAATACTTCTGATTTGAAGTCAGTGCTCATTGATCTTAAATTTATCTCCTACCAATCCTATCCAGAAACTTACTTCTTGACACTATTAAATGATCAATTTGATTTATTCCATGGTGCACACAATAGAATAATGATATGAAAACTAACAGTGTATTTGCTGAAAACAGTGTAAAGTATTCTAAAAGGATTATCTTGTTTTAGGATAGCTATATTGCTGTAGGGCTATGTAATTAATTGACTACGTTTTAGACTCACTTGGAATAGTCCTTCTCTATGTGGTTGTGCTACCAGATGGATATGGCATTATATATATATTTAAAATCATTTTATTGGAGGCTCGTACAACTCATCACAATCCATGCATACATCATTGTGTCAAGCACGTTTGTACATTTGTTGCTCTCATTCTCAAAACATTTCCTTGAGTCCTTGGTATCAGCTCCTCGTTTTCCCCCTCCTTCCCCCATTCTCTCTCCCTCATGAACCCTTGATAATTTATAAATTATTATTTTGTCTTGTCTTACACTGTCTGATGTCTCCCTTCACCCACTTTTCTGTTGTCTGTCCCCCATGGAGGGGGTTATATGTAGATCCTTGTGATTGGTTCCCGCTTTCTACCCCACCTTTCCTCCACTCTCCCGGTATCACCACTCTTACCACTGGTCCTGAAGGGCTCATCTGTCCTGGATTCCCTGTTTCCAGTTCCTATCTTTACCAGTGTACATCCTCTGGTGTAGCTGGATTTATAAGGTAGAGTTGGGATCATGATAGTGGGGGGAGAACACATTTAAGAACTAGACAAAAGTTGTATGTTTCATCGTTGCTAACCTGCAAGGTGACTGGCTCGTCTCCTCCTCGCTACCCTTCTGTAAGGGGATGTCCAGTTGTCTACAGATGGGCTTTGGGTCCCCACTCCACACTGCTCCTCATTCTCAATGATAAGATTTTTTTTTTCTTTGATGCCTGATACCTGATCCCTTCGACAGCTCATAATCACACAGGCTGATGTGCTTCTTCCACATGGGCTTTGTTGTTTCTCAACTAGATGGCCGCTTGTTCACCTTCAAGCCTTTAAGACCCCAGATGCTATATCTTTTGATAGCTTTCTTTACCACATTTGCTTATGCACCCGATTTGTCTTCAGCGATCGTGTAGGGAAGGTGAGCATCATGGAATGGC